AGAATTGCAGCTGGCAACTGTACTACTAGCTATAGGTGTCGAATCATTGCTAATATCTGACGTAGCTTCATGTATTTCCGGTTGACTCACACATATATCATCATCTGCATTCGTGTTTGTCATAAGGTAAAGTTTACATTTGCTGGCATAAATATCATGCAATTTCAAGTACTCTTCAAAAATACATTGTTCGCCATCAATGTCAGTGAACGAATCAATTTTGTCTCTAGCAACATTTCCTAACTCTTTCTTCATTTCAGTGATATCGCCAAGCCTTTCAATGCTCCTTTGAAACATTTTTGTAGCTTTGTTGATCATCGTTTCAACAGTCATATCTTCATCATCATAATAAATACCTTTGTACCACCTCCATCTTTGAATCTTAATTGTTTGAATGGCTTGCCGTTTTCCGAGTGTAACCAACCAAGGTATAACTTCTACTGTGCTTTGCTTTTCTCCCAACAGGAGTCTGAGCCAGATGTGAACAAGTATACAGGAGATGACAAACACCAGATTCAAGAATTCTGATAAACAACTCGCGTCAATGGTAAATGTGACCAGAAAATATATAGAAATCGAAATTAAATTATTTCGATATTGTAATTTACTGGTTTATGTAGATTTTATTATAAAGCCTGTTGCATTTATTTGTAGTATCTTGTGGCATTGTTTGGTGAGAAATAAAGCATTGATATAATACGATATTCTTAATGTTACCCCTCTAATTTCCCTGTATTGCATAACCCTCTCCACCTTTAGCGTCATTGTTGTAAAGTGGACTTTAGGCTCAGTAAAGGGAATAATAATAATTATTAATATAATCCTCTTTATCCCCAGTGAGACATAAGGCTGCTTTTGCAGTTTCTGCTACAGGATGATTGTTTTATGTGATGGAGTTGTTAGCACCATGCCCAACCCCCCACCCTAGAAGACCAGTATTTCTATTTGCATTACTGCCGAGAGAGAACGACTGGTCACGAATATCTGCTACTCTTACGAAGAGTAGGGGTGATCGAGTTATTTAATGTGCACTGAGGATATGAACAGTACACAGGACCAGCAGCTTTTTACGTTCACATCCAAAAGGAAGCCCATGAGATACCTATTTACTCCTGGGTGGAGAGAAGCGAAGGAAGTTAGGGAACTTGCTCCTGGTTACAACACGATTCTAATGGTAGGACTCAAACTCACAACCTTGTGATTGTAAACGCACATACCCACCGTGCCACAGCGCCTCCCAAAATGACTGGCAATAGAGGTCGCTATTGCCTGAGCCCTTATAGATATTTTAAGAATGATTATTTAACTGATTATTTAACACTGAAGGAATTGTATTATATATCAACAGTTGCAGATGGAACAGCGAAGTAAAACATTTTTAATTCACAGTGATAAACGTGGTTGACAGTTGTATGTTTCACCGCAAAGTAGTCTCTAAACAAGTCATTGTCAACACAAACAATTTCTGTGTTTTACTATGTAGTCAGGGAAGAACAACACAGCCAGTTGAAACGCTATAATTCTGTACCTAGCATATTATCAAGCATTATGTGTATAAGGCCACAGTCTCTGTTATTAACAATTCAGAACTTCAGTGAGCCTGATCAGATTGGTCCCAGACATGTAAAAATGGCTGATTTTAGTCGATTTTTAAAACCCCAATGCTGCCAGTCAGTGATCACTAATTAGATGGTAAAGTTATTTTACGTGCATTTGTATGCAATGATATACGCTCATTCACACACTTTGAAGTGTTTTTTTCTGGGCATGCCTGAAATATTATGTTCAGAACAGAAATGTGAAAGAAACGCGACATGAATCAAAACACCAGTATAATCAAACATACCAAATTTGCAGAAAAATCAGTCAAAGCGTGTCTAAGAAATGTTGATGCAGCACTAGAATTGTAATTTTTTAAAGCGCGGTGGTCGTAGCGCGGCGTGTGTTCGAATTTTACGATAATAAAAAATGTATTTTACACGCGTTGTATACGTCGCTATGAGTCCCATATCGAACAGGACGGGGCACGACGACTGCCTCCCTTTAATTATTTAAAATTATGTAAATTAGCAATGCATTGTTACAGGGTATGCACCATAATACTATGTGGTCAGTGCAATACCTTAACACATTTGAAAGTTTTTATGAGTTCTGATCAAAAATGTTGATTAAATTGATTAAAGAATTGATATGCAAATTACCTAATCAATATTCATGATATGCACAATTACACTATCTGCCTGTGTAATATTCCAACACATGTATCTACCAAGTTTTGTTGAGATCTAATCAAGAAATGTTCCAGTAAATGGGAAAATTACTAAAAATGTTAATTATTATGCAAATTAGCTAATCAATAAGCAAACACCAGGCATCTAATATGCACAACCATCACACCAAGTTTGAAACAAACAAACCCAAGAATGTCTAATAAAAGTCAAAATACCTGATTAAAGTCTGTTTTAGGACCAAAATGGCCACCAGTCATTTTTGATTGAATCATGAAAGAAATGCACGTGCATACATGTATGTCCCAGATATGTGTAATGTTTGAAAAAATCGGTCAAGGGATGTCCGAGATGCAGTTCCGGACGCCCGGACGGAGACGGGGGCTAACAAAACAGTCCGTCAGCTCGCATAGCTCCCATCATATAAAAATTGAAATATTCAGCAAAAATCCAATGTTACAATTTTGACATCAAATGAAAAAAAAATATCTGAGCGGGATCCTCCCAATGTACCAAAACACCAAATTTGAAAGCATTCTGAGCTAGAGCTTTGAAGAAGAAGACGAAAATGTATAAGTTGATGGATGACGGACGGACGATGACGGACAATCGGTAATATGATAAGCTCCAGTCGGTCAACTTCTATACCCACGGTAGTGTTTGGGAATAAATGTTGATCACTGTTTGGTTGTTTGTTTCTATATTAACATCAATAGTATACATTATACCACTAAAGTAATTAATAAACTTACCTTTGTTTCAATTCTAGAAGTACACGGTACTGACTTCTTATTGCACAAGACCTTTTTTTCTCTCTTATCTGCTTGACCAGCTCCACAACACATGTTTTCTTTTGGTCTGAAGAAGAATTGAATGGCAATGCATATCAATGCAATGAAAGTCATACTTTGAGCCTACATATGATTGTTGTGCTGAAATATGACTTGACAGCTATATGTTTATTATATCATGAGTGAATGAAGGTTAACAAAAAGTGCATCTTTGATCATTTACCTGTCCTTGCAAAAAAGTTTCATAAATTGTATTACCTTTTCTGTTGTAAAGTTTTCACACAACAGCTGCAAAACAAACACATGAGTATGCATAACTAAACCAGGGAAGACTTACATGTAACACATGAAGTGTGAAGAAATTGTTTCGTTCCAGGTAGTGTAGAATGAGGCAGTACGTGGGGGTTGCTGGTCAGGTTACATGAAATAAAAACGGTGTTTTCATTTTTATAGGAAATAAAAGTTCCATTTTACGTTAAAAAATACAGTTTTTACAGTTTACATGTAAAGCAAATTTCTAATTACATTTTACAGTTTTTTATTATTTTCGACCATTCAAATGTGAGTCCAGTATCGAAGATATTGTATGAATACTGACAATTAATGTGGAAAATATATGCTTACAACTGAAAGTATCTTTGTACGAAATACGGGGGAATAAAATAGATGATTCCTTATACCTTGCCCATGCCTATGGAATTATGTTAATTATTTATTTATATATTAAAAGTACATAATTACGAACGCTAAAACAAGAAATTACGAAAATTCCCTTTTTCGTCCCTAAGTGTAACACACGAAGAGAGGCACATTTCCTCGGACTCAGGAGGCATCATATTATAAATGCGCGATTTATGCAACTCTGGTCATGTTTGTCCAACTTTACACGACGTAGTCTATACTAGCGTACCAACTACACATATTCATACCGGGAAAATATGCGTAAAAGGTGCTAAATACATACCTGTTTATTTGTCGTCATGTACATCAAAAATTGTGCGTTCGCATGTGACCTTTCAACTTAGACACGTGAAACGCAAAGTGGGCAGGTACATGGAAATAGGAAATATGGGTGAGAACAAAATTTATGGCAGGGGGGGGGGGTGAAAAAATGGGGAGGGGTCATGGACAAATTATAGGTGGCTCGGGGGCTTTGAAATTGTATGATAGCTGTTTTAGAATTTTAATTTAGATAGAATTTTAAAACATGACATCTTATAACAATATTTGTCATATTTGATTTACTTTTTTACTCAAAAAAACAAAACATATTTTTAAATGTACTGGTATAATAAATAAAACATAGTAAAGTTGAAGTATACATGTAGTTTGATCAAAAAAAATGGTGTGATTTGATTGTAAAATTTTATGGTGGAAAAAAGTATTTCATATGTATATGAAACCTTTGTTTGTGAATATGTATTAAAGGTGGCAACAGAGGAAGTGTGGGCAGATACAATAATGAATAATATATTTGTTTAAAACAAAGAAGCTAGCACTCTGATTTAACAAACTGTATGCATGTCTTCATCGCACCACTTATTGTATTCAATATACTTTGCTATAAAAATGTTTTCCTTGTCCCCAAAGTACAACATACTTTAAGCAAGCCACGCAATTCCCCCTAATGTGACACCCACTCTATTAAACTCACATGGTATTGCAGGAGACGATGTTTGTAACAATATTATTCAGAATCGTCAGTCTCAGAATCTGAAGTTAATGCATGTTTCTTTTTCGGATGGGCTTGTAAAATTGCAATCAGGTTATCAAGGTCCTCAAATGCATTGATGTATCGCAAGTAAATTAGACCATTGAGGTGTTTCATGGGCAACAGCTTCTGTTTGTCAATTTTATTAGTACTAATAACAATATCTGGTTTATGTCCATATTTGGATTTAACAACCTTTTCTCCCATATCAGAGCTGTATGCATCAACCACTAACATCTTTGCCTATTTGATGGTTCTTTTTTCCTTTCTTCAGGTATTTCTCTTTTTGTCTTCTTTGTTTCTACGTTTTGTTCGTGCTCGTTCTGTTGGTGCAACTCGCATGTTATGGAAAATCCAAGCAAAAATACCCAACTATAATCCAAACAATCAATGTCAAAAAGCAATATTTTCAAATCCGAGAACAAACAGGAGACATACAAACAAAACAAACAACACACTGTTATATCAGTGAGAGAGATACATGAA